CACGCACGCACGCACGCACGCACGCACGCACGCACGCACGCACGCACGCACGCACGCACGCACGCACAGATGTCTACATTCCAATCACGTCTCCTCTTCACCTCCCTCCTTCCACTGTTATCTTCCTCAGAGAACCCGAGCACTGTGGAGTCGGCCGATTGCCGTATTTGTGGACGCGCTCTGTCTCTGCTTCAGCGAGGAGCAGAAGATGAAGTATACATGCTGAGATCACCAAATCTTCCCTGTTTATTTGTCTGTCTATTCTTCTGTCAGTTTTTTCAGGGCTTGCATTGATTCGCCGCTGCCTGAGAACAGAGTAGGAGGCTTGAAGGAGAAGCAAACTTACATACTGCTCACTCTCCGTCTCTTGTGTGCAAAGACACCCACATTTTCATTGTTGTTTTCGACTGTTTGTTATAATGTTGTCCCCATTTTTCCCCGCCTTTCCTCTTTTCTTGTTTTTGCATTTTTCAGCACAACGTTATCCAGCAAAGAAAGACCATTCTCACGCCACCATCTTTCCTTTATTTTATTTCCTCCAATCTCTTGCTTGCTCTGATAGAGAGAATGCCAACGAGAGGGGAAAGACAACAAGGGGGTCTAATGGAAGGAGGGAGCAGGGAGAGATGGACTGTGTGTGTGTGTGTGTGTGTGGTGGGGTGGGGGGCTGCAACAGCAGGGAACGGGTGATCGAATGATAAGTTTGGTGAGGAGGAGGACAAGAAGAAGTGGGGGTGCAGAGGACAGAGGAGGATAAATGATTTACAGAGTGGGCTTTACAGCCAGGGCTCATGGGAAATATGAGCTGTAGCAAATCCCACACATACATTTACATGCTCTGTTTTAGGTGCACATCAGCCTCTGCATGTAAAACGGGAGATTTAAATTTTCAAGGTGTTAATTAGCAAAATACTTCAACTCTAAGGGCAAGCCGCTAAATGAGTGATTGATTACCGCGGTCGGATCAGAGCTGCTGCCTTCATGCTGAACTTTGAATGTTTTTTTTGTGTTTCATCACACCCGCGAGGACCCGCTCATCTGATCCGAGGCATTAAAACGTTTCTGTTTCCATGCAAAAAAAAAAAAAAAAAAAAAAAAAACGCTGCCAGGAAGGATGGAGAGAATGAAAAGAACGGGCGAGAGGGAGAGCGGGGCAGAGAGAAGGGGTGAATTTGATTGTTCCGCTGGATGGTTCATAATGCGCAGAGCTGTGACTGGTTCATTCTTTTTTTTTATCCTCTCTTCCTCTCTTTCATCACATCATCTTCAGAGGCAGCTTGAGATGGGATTTATCTGCTTTCTCAACACACACACACACACACACACACACACACACACACACACACACACACACACACACACACACACACACACACACAAAGGGGATGGAGAGACAGCTCGCTCATTCCATCAAATCTGGCTCTGAAACACTTTGTCTTTCTTCTGCGCTCTGTCTGTCTGTCTGTCTGTCTGTCTGTCTGTCTGTCTGTCTGTCTGTCTGTCTGTCTGACACCAATAAACAGACATGCAAATGCACAAAAACTCTCAGGCGTGCATAAGTGGAGGCAACACAGGAGGAGAGGAGGGATGGAGCGTCTCAGCGTGTTTACCTCCCCAGTCTTCCTGGTTAATTATGCATGCAGAGGCAGTTTGCTAGGAAGGTGGAGCGGCCTGGGACACACGCACACACACACACACACACACACACACACACACACACACACACAC